TTCAATAAGATATATTCATAACTTCAATACACATTGTTTTAATAACAACATAGTGTCCTGAACAACTTAATTATTGAAAGGATGACACTTCTCAAAGCTAATATGCATAGTTTTACTGATTGAGAGGTACTGATGTATTACAATATAATGCATTTACTAATACACATATGATTCTATTATCTTTTATGCATTGATCTATTTATATGCATTTATTAAGAAGGCTTTTCTGGTAAAACTTACTATTTTTACTGAAAAGAAATCTGTGTACTAAAACATTTCTTGCCTTGTGTCTTTCTTCCCAACAAAATAAAAATATCTATGCAGCAAAGTCTTCATAATAATGATTTTAAAACCTGCACATAGAAATTACAAACTATGGGTTTAATCTTAGCCACTTAACTACACAGACAGCAAATGGAAGGCTCAACTGACTGAAGTAATGGTTCACCAGATTTTGGAGTCTATAGGAATATTAAAAATTCTGACTTATATTTTTTCAGGATTCCCTATGAATTTTTCAGAGCTTAATTTTACAAATGAAAACCAGAAGTAAAGCAGTAACAAATAAAAAACAGTAATATTGCCTAGAGAAAAAATAGTTTATTAGAATTTGTCATCATTGCAACAGTACTTTCTTGAATTTAAAATCAAATGAAAAAACACACCAACAAAGAATTACTTGAAATGTGTTTTCCTTTCCATAGTTATATTATACAATTAGTGGCTCTTTATGTGTCTTGATCAGTTTTAATAGGCAAGGGATGAATGTGGTCTTCTTCATAATAGAACACAAATATTATTTATCTGAGGTTTCCAAAAAACGAGTCTATTGCTAACATTATACTTAGATTCTTGTACAATATAATAAAAATCATTTAATTAGATTAAGAAGATATCAAGCTAATAATCCATTTGTAGAACACTCAGATGCTGTAATATTTAATTATTCAAACTGTGTGTTGAGTGAAATTGAAAGAAAAATTTTAGCTATTGCTTTAAAATTGAGTATACCTAATAAACAGTAAACTCAAGCTTATCTTTTAAAATCTAGCAGTTTTTGCACTTAATGTTTAAACAACCTAACTGGATAATAGTAATAGTAAAACTGGTAATAGTAAAACTCAAGTATATGTGGAATAGTTTTAGCTTATTTTAATAATTGTAGCTTGTATTATTAGTTTCTAAATATAAGCCAAAATAAAGTGTTTGTATTTTTAAAAACCTTAGTAGATATATAATAATATTTTTATAACTAAAACTCATATTGTTATTTTAGATTAAATTGTTTTAAGTGGGTAAAACTTTGAGTAATTCACCTAAATTTGCCAAATGTGATCAAGATTCTATTAATATTTGAAAAACTAAATTATAAACATATGTATTGAACTTAAAGAAAAATTATTTACCAATTTAGACACAATACTTAGAAATTAGATCACCAAGAAAATATCCAGGGAT